ACTCATGTCATCTCTCTTGAAAAGCATGGACCAGCATCTGATTTTCTGTTCTTGACTGAATGTACAAAATTGGGTGCAGACCATGGGATTCATACAGCAAAGAAAAAAAATTGCTGAGGATACCCTGGGGCCTCACTTTCGGCTGATGGGTCCAGTTTCAGTACAAGGATCTGTGGAATACCATTCTCTTAAATGTACTTTATGGGATAGCTGTCACTCGCCTACCATTGATCTATGTCTAAACCTACAAACTAAATAAGCTCTTTTTGAAAAATTGTATTCATTCTTTCTGGAGGAAATTTTATAGATATGCCAGGTGCAGTGTTAAGCATTGGTGAGGAATAGATGAATTGTCCTCAGCATCCATTAAGTTAAAATCTGAAAAGTGAGAAGAACAAGCAAAAAGGGAGTTATAATCCATGGGCTCTAGGGCAGAAATGAACATGATGCAGTGGTTACACAGGCAGGGATGCTGGCACAGTGGTGGTGGCATTTGAGATACAGATTTCAAATGCAGGTGTGTCTGTTATCTCAGAATTACGGGGTCTGTGCATCCAAATCCTGGGCATTCCAGTGATAAATTATACCTAAAAGTTAGGTAGAGAATCAATCTTCCATATCTACTAGGAATCCCTATGTTTCTGGCCTTTCTGGAGATCTATCTTTCATTCAGAAAAAAATGGAGGCATAGGTCATGAGACAGACAAGCACAAGCAGTGTCATATGACACGGATCTCAGGATGAAGATTGAGAGGAGAAAGCTTTCACTGTCACACTACTTCAAAAAGTAAGCATCTGTTTCACCTAATGAGAAAATTCTATGACTAATCTGCAGTAAAGATCATACTCAGTGATTTATCACAGAAATAAAGAACAGTTCCATATGTTCTCTCTCATAAAAGGTCCTTGAACAATTATAATGCTATAAGAAAGTGATTGGCAGTAGTGGGAAACTGTCGGGGGAAGGGGTAGGCTTGGCATTTGAGGGAAATTGCCAGGGGAGGGAGGTCCATACCTCATCAACAAGGGTACCTGCATGATCAATGTTTATATACCTAATCCTGAATTGTACCCCACATCTTTACAATAAGAATTTATTTGGGACAGCAGAATCAGGTGACTTGACATCTTCAGCGTATGTGGTTATATCAGGAACGCTGGGCTCCAGCCTTTGACAAGAGGACCTATAGCTTTATGAAAACGTTGAAAGATATATTTTTGGCCAAAGTCATACCTCACCTCTTTGTATGCAATTGTTTCTTTAATGAAACCTAAAACAGGAATATGTCATTCCACACAATCGTGTACAGGAAAGAGGAGTCTAATCCTGAGAATAGGATCCATGCCCTCTTATTCAGGTAATAATTCAGAAAGAAGGCATGTCTCTTCCATGAGCACTAAAGGCCCTTGAGTGGGTTTATAGGTAAATACAAGTAGTAAAACATGTAACTCGCTTTTAATATTGCATAGAATACTGTCATATTTTCTCATTAAGTCTACATTTCTACCATCTTTCTTGATTTATTTTGCCAATAAAAGTTCTTTGCACTTTTTTAAAAGATGAAGATTGACATTCGTTATTGTGTAACACACTTTGTCATGCAGAAAAAATTAGAATCCCAAGATGATATAACCTTCCTCCAAAGAGACTTCACCATTAATATTTAGAAGTGGCTGAGTTTGGATCATTAGCAATCTTGATCAATTTAACCTAATCAGGATTAAAATGGTTTGAAACTGACTTAAATGCTGTGAAAACTGGGGGACTTCTGGGACATTCTTTCCTTGAGTACAGCTTTTTACCTATCCAAAATTCTGCGGTGTTTGTGAGATGCCCTACCACTTGGGTAGGCCTTAAGCTCTAACTTTAGATCCCCTCAACTTTATGATACTTTAAAAATGTCTGCTCAGCTTCTCAGCCACTCAGCTCTCTCCTCCAAGTTTTCAGGTGCCTCTGAGATAAGAGCTGCTCTTACTGCAGAGCTCAACCCTTTGGACTTTCTCTTCTCACTTGGGTATTGATCTTGCACTTCCTTGTTGATTTGGTAATGCTTTGATGCCTTCACATAGGTGTTATCTATTTTTCACCTAGACTTTCTGATTGTGCACTGTGTGTGTGTGTGTGTGTGTGTGTAAGTGTATGGTGAGAGGGTTGAACTGAAAGAGTATGTCCCCTACAACCTGAAGGGAAACTCTGTGATTGATCTTCTGTGTTGCTAAATTCCAATGGTAATGAAATTTACAAACTTGCCTGTCTCATATGTGAAATTAAGACATTCACTTAGGAAGAATACGTTTCCTTGAGTGGGAGTTGTTATATTTGGGAGCTGCCTTAACACATAAGTAATGTCAGCATCTATATTGAATGCTACATTCCTTCTACTCTTTTTTGACTTCTAGCTGGAGAAAGATAAATTTTTTATCATGTTCCACGCCACAATGTACTTGTCCTGATGCCAAATGTAAAGATTAGAACGAATAAAAATCTGTCTATCATTCATCCATCCATCTATCCATCCATCCATCTTATTTATTGTAAGGATATGCACTACATGATTTGGGATATTGTCAAATTCCAAATTCTGCAGGGTGAGAGGGAAAGCTGGAGACCCTTGAAAGCTAGTGTTGTAGATTCCAGTTTAAAGACCAGCAGGCTTGGAATCAAGGAAGATGTTTCATCTTCAGTCTGAAGGCAGGGAAAAGTTGATGTCTCAGTGTGAATGCCTCCTGGCAGGAATAATTCTCACATAATGGGGGGGGGGGTGAAGATCAGCCTTTTTGTTCTATTCGGGCCTTCTTCTGATTGAATGAGGCCCACCACATTATGCAGGGCAATATAGTGTACTCGGTCTGGTTTAAGTGTTTATTTCTTCCAAAAATTCCCTCACAGAATCACCCAGATACAGTGCTGGACACAATATCTGGGAACACGTGACCCAAACAAATTGACAGATAAAACTAATCATCACACCACATTTAAACTTACAATGATCTGAAAGTGATTGGGAGAACACTTGGGAAGACACATTTTTTGTTTTATGTAAAGATCATTGTCAAAATTGCTAAACTTTGTAATCCTTGTTATCATAAACTCTATTGGAATGTATTTCAAAGGTTCTTAATTTTAAAAGATGGAACATGCTTTTGACTTGGTTTGTCGAAATGGTGCACTTTCCAGAGAGTCTGCATACAGCATATGTCTTGGGATACCAGTAGAATGAATAAATCAAAAAAATGGCTGAGGTGAGTGGATTGCCTGAGCCCATGGGTTCGAGACCCTCCTGGGCAGTGAGACCTCATCTCTACAATAAATTTTTTAAAAATCAGCCGGGCGTGGTAGCACGCGCCTGTAGTTCCAGCTACTTGGAAGGCTGAGGCGGAAGGATAGCCAAAGCCCAGCAGGTCGA